TATAAGAAAAAACAACATAATACTTGGAGATGTTTAATTTAGGGGGGAAAAACAGAAACATGACAGCAATTCTATTTATCTCATTGAAGGGTAGGGATGCGATTCACACGTGCAGAAGCTTTTCCTGAAGTGTCAGGAAAAGCTCAGAAGGGTCCAAAATGAAGCAATGTGGCAGCCTTGTTTTACTCTTTAGAAGGGGGTGTTGCTTTACAAAGCGCCATGCAAGGGGGCTTCACACAAAATATCATCAAAGCAAAACAGTACTTCAAAGCTTTTTTGGGCCTAGGATGCATTTTTGTATCTGGCTCCTTCTCCTTCTTTCCAGAATTCTTAAAGCAGGGGCTGTCCACCACTGCTGAAGAGTTCCAGATTCAGGAGAAATGGACAATAGTTTTTGGATTTGCTGTCCCAAGGTGTTGTGTTGGCTTTAAACATACTCACAGAGTGTGTTGTTCCCCCACTGCATGGCACAAATCGGCTCTGGCCATCTTTTCTTTCCTCCCATGTCTTCATGACACTGCCTTCTTCTCAGCCCTCAGTCTACCATTCCCTCAGCTTCAGATCCATAGATGTACTGATGTTAAAGTAATATCTTAAATTTTTCTTAAAATACTTCAAGGTGTATATAGGGTTTATCACTCATTACCCTGGAGGAAAGTTAGATGACTAACTTAGAGACAGGAAAGGGATGGACAGTGGGAAAAACCAATTTCATGACCGCGCTATTTTCGGCAGACCTAAGGATAGCTTGGAAGCATACAACTCAGCCACGGGGAAAGGTCCAGTGGCTACTGACCATGATGCCTATCTATTCTTACCTCTAATATTTGTAGCAGTACCGTATGTCTTTTCTTAGGACACCTGTCTCTGTATATGTGTGCTGGGATTGTGCCTATCCACTCATCTCTGTCTAATATGCCTCTGGCTGGCTTTTGTTAAGAACAGAATGCTTGATTAGAGGGATCTCTAGACTGATTGATACCAGGGGTGCCCACAGGGTATAATATTAAAAAGCCAAGACGGTGTGATCATGACACAAGCACATAAAATAGGCACAGTTTTGGTCTCACCATTGTGGCTGCCATTTTGACTTCTTTGACCATACCCTATGGACACTATTGTCTGATACAACCCGGTTCTCCTGACTTTCTGATTTTAGGCTAGTGTTTTTAATTCTGGTTACAGTGGATCAGAACAGAATCCTCTTTTCATGCCATGCCCAGTGTTGAGAATGTAGGTTTTATGCTCTCATTACCAATAGATTTTTAAAAGCTAGGGTGGAGAAGTGACATGTGTGAAAATCCTCTAAACAATATGTGAAATGGATGTTCTCTTTCCCTGCTGATCAAGAAAGCAAAGTTCTTATGTTGCTTCCCCTCCCCCCACTTTTTTTTAAGAATTATCCACTAAGTTTGAAACAGTTGAAAATCCTTTTTAAAAAGACAGATCTCTTTTTGAGTTTAACTAGAGCTTTGCTTCAAGGAGGCTGGCAATTGTATTCAAGTGCAGTAAGGCAGAAGGAGGTGTGTGTGTGTGTATTCATTGGCAGTACTTGAAGGGGTTATGTTTATGCCTTTTTTCCAGCATCTGACTTGTGGCTTATTAAAAGCTCCATCTGATATATATTGTGGGGTGGTTCTGTTAGATCAGAGTGGGTAAGTTCCAGATAATGCAATCACTTTGGCTGAAAGGGGAGGGGTAAAGTTTGGGAAAGCAGCAGCTCTGGTGCACTTAAACCACCCAGTTGGAGATGCCAAGAAGGAAACCAAATTCCTTGACAAATTCTAGGTAGCCTCCTACAGCAAAGTAGGAATGGAGACTTCCCAGGCCAATTTCAGGGCTGAAGAGGGTCATCCACAGCTCTCCAGTGCTTCCATGGGCCTGGAATATAATGGTTGATGACCCTTCAAGAGTCAGGTTTAGGACCTCGGAAGAGATTAGTTGCAGGGACTAAAAGGGAAAGTGTGCTTGAGTAAGTAGCAGAGATCCCTCTCTTGCTGTTAGAAGAGAAGAAAAAGTTCCGGATTATCAAGGCCTATTATCCCCTTAGAGCAGAAGTTGGTCCTTAAGTTGGCGATAGAATTAAGGCTTTTGAGTTCAGTTCCTGGCCTCTTCCAATACAATTGGAAAGACCCCCACCTGAAATTCGTGGGTGATACCCACACTGAACTAAACATAAAGGGTCTGAATCTCTATATACTCCTATTATGCTGTGTGAACCATAGTGACATTCAACATATTTAGCAGGATATGTGAGTCAAGCAGCCCTTGTTTAAAACGACCCTTAACTGAATCCTTTTGGTTGCTCATTCTTTCAGCCTAACCTATCTCACAGCATTGTTGTGAGGCCAGTGAGGGGACGACTGTATCAAAACTTAAAGTACTCAAGTTATAAATGTGCGTTAGGTGCCAATTCCTTCCCATTTCATCCAATCCCTTCCAAGACAAGGTTGTCCTCATGATCACGCAAAAACCCCTTGAGAAATGCTCCTTCCTCCATGGGTGAGAAGGCTCCAGAAAGAAGGCAGGGCGTTTTGCCATCACTCCGACCTCATCCCCAGCCGATCTGCCCGAATGCACTGGGGACTTCCCTTTCATGGATCAGACGTCCTGCTTCTGCAAGGTTTGGGGGAATGTCTAAAGTGGGGAAGGCTCCTCCAAATTTGGCTCTCCTGGGGTGGGTGTCACACATTCTTCTGGCCAAGGACACTTTATAATCATCTTCTCCGAAATGAAAAGAGGCCGAAGAGGTAAAGCCGCTGCACGAACCACACGAGGAAGACGCGGGTTGAGCACGATGGCGGATTTAAAGCAGAGGAGCCAGGGAGATGGTTCTCTGTCCTCTGCATTTCCCTCTCCCGGCACTGCTTTTTACTAGAAAAATGAGTAAAAAGTCGCCAAACTTTGGCTACATTCAACTAGGCCTAAACAGGTTTTCTTCAACCTGCTGCCTCCTAGATGTGTCATCTGCCCTAAATCAAAGGAGGATATTGGAACAGGGGTGGGTGAGTAGGGGGCGTCCAAGGATGTCTCCCTCCCTTACTAAATCCAATCTCGCTGTTTGTAATTCTGGCTTATGTGGACCTCATTCCCAGTTGTCTGAGTTTTTGGCTTATTTAAGAATGACTTCGATCCAATAGCAGCAGATGCTGGATCTTGCAGTTCAGCATTGCTTGAAGGGCAACAGGTCCCTCTGCCCCAAACGTGGATCCAGCGGCTGCCAGAAAAGTTCTCCTCGCCTTTCAAGAGATGTGGGCCACATGGATTTTTCTCAGGTCTTGGGGCAGCACCGCAATTACTCTGCAAATCTCACCTCTCTACTTCTGTCTGAGCTGATTGATTTACTTACAAAAGTGAAGGCAGCTGCCGTGGGGGGAGGTGGGGGCCGGTGGGAGGTGCACCTTTAGTTCCGGGCACCAACGTTCTCGGAAAACCAACGAAATCTTTTCAATGAACCAGATTCTCTAGCTTTTTCTTTTTAAGAAGACAGACTTTCTCCCCATGCCCCAGTCTCTGCACACTGCAGAGTAAAAAGTTTGGAGTTTTAGGAAGACAAAATAATAAGAGCACCACCAGACTGGTTTTGTTTGAATTTCTGTGTTGTGATAGTTATCGTATTTGTCTGTTGAAGGACGCAGAGGATTGGGTGCTCTCGGTGGCTGGAAATATCCCCTTCTAACGATCTGCAGCACACCGCACTCTCCCTCTTTCACGCAATGTTATTGATAAACCAAGCTAGAGGCGAAGATACTTGAGAAAAAGGGCAAATACCGCAGTGATCAGAAAGATGACAAAGCTTATACCGCAGGCATCCGAACATCTTTTAAACTCCTCTGCTGTTATTTGCATAACAGAGGGGTCCTGGTCCAATTTATTTTGGAGAAGAGAGAACCCGCTGTCCTTCCGCTGTGGAAGGATGCAGCCCACACAGCGCCTGAATGCTAATGCCACGAGTTCGTGGATACTCTGGGACATCTTCAGAAAAGGGCGTGTTTCTCTCTCTCTCCCCCTCCTTCTCTCTCTCTCCCTCCCCCCCCCGCCCCATCCTCCCAAGGATCGTGGCATCTGCCGAAAATTAGCTGGGATCCCTACCCTTAGAAGTCAGCAAATGAAGCCAGACGGCACCCCAATTCTGATTTTTGACAGATCGGAAGAGGGAACCTCTCTCTTCTTCCCCCTCCCCCCAATTACATCAGACAGCCGCTGACCCGGCATCCAAGAACTGCATGGGATCAACGCTTTGGCCGGGCTGTCCGAAGCGGGCACAGAGGTGCTTGGGGAAGGGAGCCGGGCTGAGGGGCCATCCCTGGAAAGCGCACTTCTTCGCTTCCAAACTGCAACGGAATGTTGGTGACCGAGGTGTCGTGATCGAATTCCCCGAGCCACGGCTGGAGAGATCCAGTCAGATTCTGTCCACGTAGCTGGATCCCGCAGGCACTTGAGCAGGCTCCCTGGAATGTAACAAGGCCCAGAATTCTTTCACATTGTGAATGTGAAATTATCACCTCCTTTGATATTCTTGGAATTCACTCCTAACAGAAGTGGAATCCCTCTCCAAAACCCAGTTCACACTCTAGTTGTAATTAGGGGCTCAAGTGGATTGGGGTTTGATTAAACCGTTCTTGCTGGACTCTGGGATCTACAGATACAAGGACTCTTTACTCGGAAGTAAAACGTGTGGCTGTCACTTGATTTCAATGCGGGAAACTGCGCCTATTTAGGACTGCAGCTTAACTTTTTCGAAGGCTATGGACGGAATTGGTTAGATTGTGGTGGGGCTCCTGCCTCAGGATGGACCTCAAACCCAAGGGCTAGACAGTACCTTCTCCAGGACTTGGTGGCCAGTGAAGGCAACCGATTCCGACGACCCTAAATCGACCTGCACACGGGCGTTCAGATAGGAGTGACTCGGAAGTAAACCCTGTGACATAAATCGGCCCTCCTTCCAAGCAGCTGATGGTAGGATGGAGCGCAGTGCCTACTGATTCGACGGGGCTGAGATGGCTATCAAGGAAGTGCTTAGGTGGATCGCCTCGGAAGGAAAAAGTTTGCGGGTCCCAGGAGAGGATGAGAGGAGAACTCGAGGCGCGCAAAGCCCGTTTCTGCCAAGCCCTTCAGACGCTGGTGTGCTTGGGAGGGGGAGGGGAGGGAGTATCTGCTGCAGTCCTGCAGCCACTAAGAGCAGCCGGCGGCTTGGGGAAGGGGCTCCCTCCGATCTCTGGCTAACGGTCTGGGAAAGGCAGCGGAGAGGAGGGGAGGGGGAAGCGGAAACTTTCGTCTCAGCCTCGGCAAAGTCCCTCCTTCTCCACGTCAAGCCAATGACACCGCTGCCCCCAAACTTTCCGCCAGCAGGAGCTATAAGAGCGTCCCAGGCTGCAACTTTCGCCCAACTCCCAGCTAGCTCCGAGGAGCCCTCGGGAGGGGAGCTGACAGCGCCAGAGAGAGATTCCCCCTCCTCCGCTGCCTCTCTTTCCGACTCCCCATGGCTTCCACCCTCCCATCCAACTGAGGTCCT